CAAATTCTTCGAAATGCACAACCCGCCAAGACTGAATCAGGAAGAAATAGAAAATATGAACAGACCAATCACAAGCACTGAAATTGAAACTGTGATTAAAAATCTTCCAACAAACAAAAGCCCAGGACCAGATGGCTTCGCAGGTGAATTCTATCAAACGTTTAGAGAAGAGCTAACACCTATCCTTCTCAAACTCTTCCAAAATATAGCAGAGGGAGGAACACTCCCAAATTCCTTCTATGAGGCCACCATCACCTTGATACCAAAACCAGACAAGGATGTCACAAAGAAAGAAAACTACAGGCCAATATCACTGATGAACATAGATGCAAAAATCCTCAACAAAATACTAGCTAACAGAATCCAACAGCACATTAAAAGGACCATACACCATGATCAAGTGGGGTTTATTCCAGGAATGCAAGGATTCTTCAATATATGCAAATCTATCAATGTGATAAACCATATTAACAAATTAAAGGAGAAAAACCATATGATCATCTCAACAGATGCAGAGAAAGCTTTTGACAAAATTCAACACCCATTTATGATAAAAACCCTGCAGAAAGTAGGCACAGAGGGAACTTTCCTCAACATGATAAAGGCCATATATGACAAGCCCACAGCCAACATTATCCTCAATGGTGAAAAACTGAAAGCATTTCCACTAAGACCAGGAACAAGACAAGGTTGCCCACTCTCACCACCCTTATTCAACATAGTTTTGGAAGTTTTAGCCACAGCAACAAGAGAAGAAAAGGAAATAAAAGGAATCCAAATCGGAAAAGAAGAAGTAAAGCTGTCACTGTTTGCAGATGACATGATACTATACATAGAGAATCCTAAAGATGCTACCAGAAAACTACTAGAGCTAATCAATGAATTTGGTAAAGTAGCAGGATACAAAATTAATGCACAGAAATCTCTGGCATTCCTATATACTAATGATGAAAAATCTGAAAGTGAAATCAAGAAAACACTCCCATTTACCACTGCAACAGAAAGAATAAAATACCTAGGAATAAACCTACGTAAGGAGACAAAAGACCTGTACACAGAAAATTATAAGACACTGATGAAAGAAATTAAAGATGATACAAATAGATGGAGAGATATACCATGTTCTTGGATGGGAAGAATCAACATTGTGAAAATGACTCTACTACCCAAAGCAATCTATAGATTCAATGCAATCCCTATCAAACTACCACCGGCATTTTTCACAGAACTAGAACAAAAAAATGCACAATTTGTATGGAAACACAAAAGACCCCGAATAGCCAAAGCAATCTTGAGAACGAAAAACGGGGCTGGAGGAATCAGGCTCCCTGACTTCAGACTATACTACAAAGCTACAGTAATCAAGACAGTATGGTACTGGCACAGAAACAGAAAGATAGATCAATGGAACAGGATAGAAAGCCCAGAGATAAACCCACGCACATATGGTCACCTTATTTTTGATAAAGGTGGCAGGAATGTACAGTGGAGAAAGGACAGCCTCTTCAATAAATGGTGCTGGGAAAACTGGACAGGTACATGTAAAAGTGTGAGATTAGATCACTCCCTAACACAATACACAAAAATAAGCTCAAAATTGATTAAAGACCTAAATGTAAGGCCAGAAACTATCAAACTCTTAGAGGAAAACATAGGCAGAACACTCTATGACATAAATCACAGCAAGATCCTTTTTGACCCACCTCCTAGAGAAATGGAAATAAAAACAAAATAAACAAATGGGACCTAATGAAACGTCAAAGCTTTTGCACAGCAAAGAAAACCATAAACAAGACGAAAAGACAACCCTCAGAATGGGAGAAAATATTTGTAAATGAAGCAAGTGACAAAGGATTAATCTCCAAAATTTACAAGCAGCTCATGCAGCTCAATAACAAAAAAACAAACAACCCAATCCGAAAATGGGCAGAAGACCTAAATAGACATTTCTCCAAAGAAGATATACAGACTGCCAACAAACACGTGAAAGAATGCTCAACATCATTAATCATTAGAGAAATGCAAATCAAAACTACAATGAAATATCATCTCACAGCAGTCAGAATGGCCATCATCAAAAAAATCTAGAAACAACAAATGCTGGTGAGGGTGTGGAGAAAAGGGAACACTCTTGCACTGCTGGTGGGACTGTGAATTGGTTCAGCCACTGTGGAGAACAGTATGAAGGTTCCTTAAAAAACTACAAATAGAACTACCATATGACCCAGCAATCCCACTACTGGGCATATACCCTGAGAAAACCGAAATTCAAAAAGAGTCATGTACCAAAATGTTCATTGCAGCTCTATCTACAATAGCCCGGAGATGGAAACAACCTAAGTGCCCATCATCGGATGAATGGATAAAGAAGATGTGGCACATATATACAATGGAGTATTACTCGGCCATAAAAAGAAATGAAATTGAGCTATTTGTAATGAGGTGGATAGACCTAGAGTCTGTCATACAGAGTGAAGTAAGTCACAAAGAGAAAGACAAGTACCGTATGCTAACACATATATATGGAATTTAAGGGAAAAAAAATGTCATGAAGAACCTAGGGGTAAGACAGGAATAAAGACACAGACCTACTGGAGAATGGACTTGAGGATATGGGGAGGGGGAAGGGTGAGCTGTGACAGGGCGAGAGAGAGGCATGGACATATATACACTACCAAACGTAAGGTAGATAGCTAGTGGGAAGCAGCCGCGTAGCACAGGGAGATCAGCTCGGTGCTTTGTGACCACCTAGAGGGGTGGGATAGGGAGGGTGGGAGGGAGGGAGACGCAAGAGGGAAGAGATATGGGGACATATGTATATGTATAACGGATTCACTTTGTTATAAAGCAGAAACTAACACACCATTGTAAAGCAATTATACCCTAATAAAGATGTTAAAAAAAAGAAGATAAAAAAAAAGCTTTATAATGATTTATACATCACAAGGTTTATGATAAATATAAAAGCATTTGTTAAACGTTTAACCGATACACAAAATACCTCTTAAAATAACAAAGCAAATTCTACTAAAAAGATTCCCTCTCACAAAACTGAATAAATCAAATAGTGACAGCTATAGATGGCAGAGTACAATTGGAAATGTAATTAAGGCTAATTTTAAGCTGTTAAGAAAGTGTTACGACTTATGAGACAATAATAGTTTGCTCAGGGTCTTCTTAGGGTATCAGATGGTGTCAACTACTCCTGAAGAGGTATTTTCAGAAACAGTCATTACATTAAACGTATACTCGTCCCTATAAAGTTTTAATCAAGAGGAATATCTTTGTATAGAAACATGTCCCCATGATAATTTTCTCATCACAATATCAGAGAGATGGTTAAAACAAAAAAAGCTGGCTCCAACCTGTAGGAAGGATCACATTTAATCTAAAATTTACTAGAACTACATAAGCTTGCTAAGTGCTCTAAGTACTTCATTTATCCAAGTATTTCAAAAATTAATCTGCATAATCTTTACACTCGATGAACACAACTCTCCACATTAAAACAGTGTACAATACGGTTAACTGCAGTTCCATTTTGAAATCTCCATCTAATAATGCTCAGTGCAAAAGAGAAAGCTGTTTCTAACACCTAAAGATATGGGACGGCCCAGGATGAAGCCTCCCTTCCTCGTTACTTTCAGGAAGCCAGGTCTGGCCTTTCACTTGAAGACGTGTATGTTGCCTGCAGCCAGCCACATCAGAGCATGTTCATAGGCTCAGCATGACGACTAGCAGTTAACTCGTACAAAACGTTTCGCAAGACCTATGGGTTTCCATCAGTTTATCAGGGGCACATAGAGGAGACGTTCAAGAACGCACAGCTAAACGTGTAACCTACAAGGCTATCATAGAGCTATTATTAAAAATTTGTGGCAATGGCCCTTTATTTCCTTCTTGCCTCTCTAGATCCCAGGAAAACCCAGACAGTAAACTGCTTAGATTCCATCGTCCTATGGACTGGCCCCCTGGAGACGGGGCCAGACCCAAAGAAAAAGGAGAGTAGGGCCACAATGTTTTGTGGGTTGAGAAACGAGGATCTCACAATCGCACGTTAACAATGAGAAAATACATTCTGAGAAGTGTTAACAGAGATGACAGGGTTACTCCATGCTCTCCAGAAAGAAAGCACTTGCCCCCAAGACACCGGAGAGGGGCAGAGTAGTTATATTCACTGAGAAAATATTCTCAAAGGAACGCTTTCCCCAAAAGGCAGGAATCTATTTTCTTCAAGAAAGATGCATTAATGCGTGCTCCCATGCAATGAGCCATACTGAGCACCGTGGGGTGTTCGGAAACGAAGGGAATGTATTCTAGCTGTCCACAAGTGACGTGAGGGGTCGCGGGGGTCCTAAACATTCTAGTCTGCAGGACTGAGAGGGGTGAGACCTGTGCTCCTACGACGAGGCGCCATGATCTGGCCTCAAATGACCACCCGGGTCTGCACAGAGAACAGGAGAGGAGGGGGAGGAAGAAGACATTCACGATGCAGAAAAGCCTGGGGAAACCCCCGCCATTCAGAAGACGTGAGAACATTGAGAACAGCAGGAACCCAAGTTTACCATAACAGAAGCTTGCATCCAGGTGACCCGGGAGGGAAGACAGAAATGCACGCTGGGGCAGGCTGCAGAGGGCTTGTGGGCCGAGAAACGGAGCAGGTGCCGGAGCAGGTGCGGCAGGAAAGGGCCGAGGGTTTCGAGCGGAGGGGCTTTAGAAGCATCAGGCGGCGGCACTGGGGGACAAAGGGGCAGAGACTGGCGGGAAGGGCTAGAGGGAAGGAGGGGCCTGACAGCGGCGGTGGGACAAGTCAGGAGGGGCCCTAATCACAGGGACGTCGGTAAGTTTAACGAAGTTTACGATAAACAAATGCTATTAGGTAGAGCTATCAGAGCCTTCAACAAACATACCACCTTCAGAAGGAAAAAGGAGGGCGTGTTTCTTAAGAACCAGCAATAGGCCACCCAAAGTGTCTAAACCTTAAAACATACTGAAATTACCAGGTAGAAACGGAGATTTCTTCTTTATAATCTTTTTTTCTTTTTTATCCAACTTCTCTGGGCTCTCCTGTTCTTCTTCCCGCTCTGCGGCCGTAGGGTCAGCTGGCTCCCTTGAAACGTTGGGAGCGTCTGGAGTCTGGCCCTGAGCGGCCGCGGTCTTGGCGTGGCTGGGGTCGCTGGGATGCGCTGCAACTGGAATTGAAGACAGCCCACTGTTTTCTAAGGCTTGCTGAGACAGAACAGAACTAGGAGGTTAGGAGGCACGATGCCCACACCTGCCCGCCAAAGTCAATTACATAGACGCGACCAAGCTTGACCTACGGAACTCTGACTCCACCCCACTGGGCGTTAAGAGCTACATCGCCAAGCAGTCATCTCTGAGCGAAACGCCCAGCCCTTGGAGGCCGAAACATCCCTCCTGATATCTGACATCTCATCTCCACCCAAAGTCTGGTGTGGCAAGCATTTACAGTTCTAAATTCAAGGGCACTGAAATTAATTCACTTGCCTTTCAGAAATTTTCTCTCAGACAACCCTAGCTGTCTGTAACACATTTAGGAATCACTGGTTGAAACTACAGCGGGGTCACCCTCACGACATCAGCCGTCATGACAACCTGAGATTCTTCACACCCCGGCCAACTTGTCACCACAGAGGTAGAGGGGAGAGGTTAGTGCTCACGTCAGTAAGTAAACAGAGGGACAGGAGAGAGAAGGCTGTCTCTGCTTGGGAATGAAGGCGGTGACTATGGAGCTGGGCGGGGAGGAAGACTCAGAAGAGCCCTCTGCCCTCCGCGCGCTCCAGCGCCACAGGAGCAGGGACGCTCACACACTGTCAAGACAGGCAGTGCTATCTCCAAGGAGCGCAGCGGGAAAGGAGGAAATATTCCTTACCCTCTGTCAACAAGGGTAGATACAAGGAAGTTCTGAAACGCCTATACTTTTCAAGAAAATTCACATACAGAGAAAAAATTATAGTTTTAAACTTTTTATTTATCGAGTGATAAATCATTTCAAATGCTGCGCTGTCCATAAGTACTCAAACAAGCATATTTTGTTTCAATACAGTTTTTCAACGACGACACATTTTGCATGAAGACCCCTTTCCTTTGACAAGACCTGCATATTGCGTTGTCAGTGCTGACGCCCAGCCCCTGACAAACACAGACAGGGGCAGGCGAGTATGGCTCACCTGCAGGATGTCCTGGCTGACCCCCACCGTGATGCTCAGCTGCTGGCCGGCCGGAGGCGGCTGGCTGCACCCCGCAGGCCCCGGCTCCGACAGCTCCAGCAGCTGCTGGATGACATCAGCCACCGCCTGGGAACTCTGCTGCCTCGGAGCAGACGTGACCTGGGCTTCCGCCTGCTGAAGAGGTAAGGTCTGAAACAGCGTGGCCTGAAACACAGCAACATTGCGTTAAAAATATAAACGATTACGTTAATTTGTACACCAATTTTTTTTAAAAAGGAAATAAACAGGCATATCTCCCTTATGAGCATTAAAATCCCAAAATTAGCATCCCAAACATGAATTTTTTTTTAACATCTTTTTTGGAGTATAATTGCTTTACAATGGTGTGTTAGTTTCTGCTTTATAACAAAGTGAGTCAGCTATACCTATCCAAACGTAAATTTTAAATAAAATGCCTCACTGATTTTTAAGTTAGACACAAAACTGGCCCTTAAAAAAATATATTCAATGAATTTTTTCTACTACAATTCAAGTCTTGTAAGTGGCGGCAGAGACTATTGCTTCAAGATGGGGGTGAAGCACACAAGCCTCATCTCCCTCTTAGTCCGTTAAAATGAAGGAGTAAAAGAGTTACAAAATATAGGAAATAAGCAAGAGATCACTGTGGTTTAAAATTTTTCTTTTAATTCCCGAAAAATAGGGGCATTGGAGGAATAAATGCTCTGTAAAGCTACAGCCAAGAACTTGTGAAGAGAGAGCTGATCTGATTCCTCAGAAACCCAGGAATGTGAAACGCATACACAGAAGACGGTAGGGGCAGAGAACTACCCTGCGCGATGCTGGAATGGTGGATAACAGGGCATTATACACTGGCCCAAACCGACGGAACATGCTCCACCGAGAGTGAACCTTAACATAAACTGTGGACTTTAGTTAATAATAATACACTAGTACTCATCCATCAATTGTAACAAGTGCACCACACCAATGCAAGGTGTAATAATGGGGGTAATAACTTATGTGAGTTGCTGGAGAGGAGTCTACAGGAGTTTTCTGTACTTTCCGCTCACTTTTACTATTAATCTAAAACTGCTCCAAAAAATAAAGTCTATTAATTAAAATACTTATCACTGACAATGAATCCCGTCTTCCTCCATAGAAAAGATGGCAATTAGGCACTTACCTTCAGGCAAAAAAATGGGGGATTGCCTCTAAAAGAGATAAAAATGAAAAAACTATTTGGGGAGAGCTAGGGCACCTTTTGTGGCCCTTAGTTCCCCAGATTAAACAAAAAATCGTTTACATTCTGCCACCAGGGACCCCAATTTTAAGAGCTGGTTCCCTGGCCAATTACAAGTAACCCTGGAGTTCAACCAGCTCTGTTCACACATAAAAAGTTCAGAGGCAGGTTTCCTGATGCTCCCCTTCTTAAATGCAGGCAACCAAGAACTATAAGACATCTGAAAGAAGAAGGAGTGGCGAGATGCACAAGAGAGACAATTCAATGACTAGAAGAGAACTTTTAAGAGAAAATGCTGATTAGATTTCAAAGGAAAGTACAACAAACCAGAAAAGAGTATCTTCAAAAAGAAACAATCAGATCACAAGGAGAGATCTCAGAAATTAAAAACCTTACTAGCTTAAAAAAAATTCAAGGAAAGAATTATAAGATAAAGTTGAAAAAAACCCTCCAAAGTAAAGCACAAAGGTCAAGATTTAGAAAATGGGAGAGGCAAAATGAGACAGTGTTCAGAGGGCTGGACACTGACCCCTAGACAGTCCTGAGAAACAGTACGTATAACCTGACACAGAGCGCTCTTGCACACGCAGATGAGGGTAAAAGGTGGCGTGGATCACAGGTTTCCAAACCCCTATACTACATTTTCAGTTTTTTACTGAGACTGTAAATTTTAAAAATGATTTGTATTATCATTCCAGGTAATTCACTATATCTACATATTTGATTCGCATACTGCCAAAGGAAATGAATATTTGCTTGATTTATACACCGAAAATTTTATTTAAAAAATACTCAGTCCAAAATAGAATTTAAGACATAATTATTAGACTCTAATTATTCTCCAGTTTTAGAGCTTCCTTACAACATCCTCCCTGATCAAGAGTAAGCTGAGGAATCGTCCTAAGCTGCAAGTGCTGTGAGAAAAGAAAAGAAAAAGTAAACACTGACGGTGAGCCTCGTGCTTGGGAGCTAAATACGAACTAGGCCTATTTTCTGGTTTGGTAGGAGGCAGCTGCTGACTTAACACAGACTATCAGCTGACGGCACTCACGAGCTACTTCAACACTCCCGAGACTTGTACGTCCAAAGTCTCTGCTGTTCGTTAGGACACCAAACTCTATGCTTAGATGCTGCCATTTATGATCACTTGGGAGGGTAGTAGAAGTAGCAGATCAAGGCTGAGCTATGAAAGCCTACAAAAAAAGGAGTAAAAGGGGGTGTGTTTGGGGGGTCATACAATTTTAAATACATGTACTGAAAAATACAACTGAGTTTCCCAAAAGTCCAAGGTCTCAGGAAAAAGTATCACTGTCACAGTAGACCTGGAGAAATATTACTTTAAAGAGAGACGTGATTCTTAAAGTATAACATAAGGATAAAGAATATTCAATAATAATCATCAATAACACTGACCATAGGAATTACAATTTCATAAATTAATGACTACATGATTACATTTTGTCTTATTTCTAACCGGTTCAGATGACAGTCCATAAATCAGAATCACGTAATATTATTCTAAAGTTTTTAAAAATTTGATTTCCTTTCACTCATTAAACAAACAAATAAAAGTAGCACCATACTTCCATATAGGAAACTTTCATAGCATCTTTACGGTACTAAATACTATTCTAAATAATATTCAATTTTCAAGGTCATCATTAAGGTGACAGATTTTGGTAAAAGAACACCTGCTATCAACCAGCTTACTAAGCTTACCGTTAAAACGTGAGCCGTCTCTCCAGCACTTGTTGAATTCTGTGGCCCACCCATATGCATCTTGCTGATATGAGTGTTCAGGCTACCTAAACTTTTAAATACACAACTACATTCTGTACAATTATAGGTAGGGCCATTCTTGACCTTAAAAAAGAAAAAAGAAGTTTTTACAACTGTTAGATTAAAATATTTAAATTATGGCAAATCATAATTTATCATTCAATTAAAATGACAGAAATAATCTAACCCTTTATCATACCTTTTCTTATAAGTTAGGTAGGTCTAGAATCAATGACCCAACTCTTTAATCAATATTGCCAGTATGAGATTAATTGAAATTTCAGTCTTTTCTATAAATCAGAACTGGCAGAACCGGTTAAGTGAAAAATCACAGTTTTCAGTTATTGTGCGCTAGTAAAAAAATGTCTGACATGTTCTCAACTTCTTAAACAGTTAAGCACAGTGTGCAATAACGAAGGCCAGACAGTTAGATATAATTGTACTCTAAGCCTTGAACATACAAGTCAGGATGGATGGCCATGCAATGTATACATCTTCCATCACCAAGTCCAATCGTCCACGGCAGTGACTACTTTTTTTTGTTTTTTTTTTTTAATAGTGACTACTTTTTAACACTACGACAGAGCCAAGAGTGGACTACAGGGCAGTAGCAGGGACAGGGCCACCCAGGCACAGAGGAAGCACCTACAGTATCCTCTCAGCACTACTCAACAAGCCCAGCCGGCTCTGAACTTGGCTAAGACCTCCACTCCACCTAGCACCTTGCTAAGAATGAACTTTACGGCTTTAGACTCATCACAGGATTAGATAATGTTACAAGCAATCTTTAGAGGTTGCTCCTGTCCCACCGCAGGTCCCAGGGTGTCCCCAGGCTGGGGGCAGGCGAGTCCCCGGCCTTCCCTGAAAGGGTTTCCTAAAGCCGGGAGCACCAACGAGGACGCCCTGGGACTGTTCTCAGGGGCCATTTTCCAGTTGCTGCGCATTTAAACGCACTGTTACTCCTCAGCAACCTTTACACAGAGGGAGCTCCACGAGAGTCACCTACACAGCCCACATTTGTTCTTCTCAGATCGGAAGGTAACCTCACGGATACGTACATGCTCTTCCTAGTGTCTCTGGGTCTTAGATAATAAAACTTAGTCTTTAAAAGCAACTTCACTGCATATGAAATTCTCAGTCTCTTTACAAACTATATGAAGTATGTAGGGTTTTCTTCATTTTAGTGTTACTTAAGGATTTACTCCAAGGAAAAAATTAAAAGATATACATATGCTTTTAGGAATGTGATGCTTTTCATCCTCCAAAGTATTGTAGTTATATAAAATAAATGATCCATGATAAAAGTATTTGTGTTGCTTAAATATTTCTTCATAATCTACAGTTAGACTAAATAAGACACCAAATCATGACAATTAACAAGAGCAAAGGTGGGGACTTCCCTGGTGGTCCAGTGGCTAAGAATCCGCCTTCCAATGCACGGGACACGGGTTCGATCCCTGGTCATGGAACTAAGATCCCACATGCCGCATGGCTACTGAGCCCGCACGCCGCACCTAGAGAGAGGCCCACAGGCCACCAGAGAGAAGCCTGCGCGCCACAACAAAGAGCCCAATGCAGCCAAAAATAAATAAATATTTAAAAAAATAATAGTAAGAGCAAAGCTGAACCAATTTAAGAGAAATACTTCCAGAGTTTGCAAATCAGTATTACTTGGAGACAACAAAAAAATTAGAAACATCAGTTTGGCTGAAATAGTTAGCTAACATGCAGTGTGGAGGGAAATACACCGACCAGGGCTCTGTTTGATAGAAAATGTGAATGGGCCCATATGCAAGGTCAGCAATACTAGCACCAGAAAAATACTTTCTCCTCAATTTCATTTGTCTCTCAATTTCTTACACTTGGAAGTGTCTGTTTCAGGTTCACTAAAGGGATGACATAGGTTAGCATTCAGATTGACGGACCACAGCTAAGAATGGTATTATGATTATTTCCAAACATTTATTCATCAAAGGTATAATACTGTTGGTAAAAAGACAAAAAATAGTATTTTATATTTCTCCCATGTATAATAAGCCAGAAAGGTTCAAATGTGTGTATATATATGTGTGTCTGCGTATATGTGTATGTATGTGTGTATATCTGTGTGTGTATATGTGTGTATGTCTTGTGTGTGTGTATATGTGTGTGTCTGCATGTCTGTGTGTGTTATTGTGGCCTCTCCCATTGCGGAGCACAGGCTCCGGACAAGCAGGCCCAGTGTCCCCTGCATCGGCAGGCGGACTCTCAACCACTGCGCCACCAGGGAAGCCCACATATATGTATTTTTTTAAACAGGGTCTGCTCTGCACAAATTCTTCGTCTACATTTAAAATGGAGAATTTCTCAGGTTCACTCTTAACTCAAGAGCCATCCGTGCAGCCTGTGACGTACTGCACGCCTGTGAGGACCACACCCCCAAGTGTGACGCTTACCTCTGAGTGAACTCTCTGCACGTGTGACTGGAGATTCCCTTTCTGAGAAAAAGCGGCAGGACAAAAGGCACAGGCGTGGGGTTTTTCACCTGTATGCTTAATCATGTGAGTTTGCAGCGCCCCCTTCTGGTTAAAAGCTTTTCCACATTCGCTACATTTAAATGGTCTTTCACCTAGAGAGGGAGAAAAATGATCAAAACATCATTCCATACTGTGCCAGCATCTGATGGATTAAAAGAAAATACTTAAGTTACCCACACTCAAGACCCCGAACCTACCCCTCCAGACAGAACGTTCCCCTGTGGCCGCAGACTCACACATCTCACTACCTACTCAAAATCTCACAAGTAACACCAAGGTTATCAGCAAACTATGGAAAAGGCAAGATTAAATTTCAGGTCTAGCTGGCTCTAAAGCACCTTTTCTTCCCTTAAGGTCGCACGGGAAATCACCCAAAAGTAAATGTATCTCGTACCTGTGTGTATCCTAATATGCCGAGTTAACTGGCTTGGCTTTTGGAACGTCTTTCCACAGTGTGGGCATGAATACGTGAATCCACTCCTGTCAATGTTCCGATTATAAGACCTTGTACTTGACACCCTAGTATAAGTAGAGGGAAAAATACTCAGTAAGTCGAATCCCTTGTGCCACCACTTCTAAATCGAAATCCTATGGGAAAGGTTAGGTCGACTGGCCACCAGAATGTGCTTTAATGAGAAATCAATCACATATAAGTGTGTAGGACACACACACACATCCATGTATTAGTTTTGTGTATCAATATCATAAAACTCATTGTTTTGGTTGGGGAGGAGGAGAGTCGGAATGTCTCTTCTAGATAAAGCTTTCCCTGTGATGATGAAACACAGACCTGTGCAGGTGTGGTTTCTACGTCGACACAAGTGTGGGCTGCCTGCTCCAAGCTCCTCCTAGACGCTGATGATCTCCAACAACTCGGACCCCTCCTCTGCGCAGCAGCCCTGGGCACCTAACTCTCTAGCTGACACCCCCTGAAGGCTCCCGGGCGCCTCAAACCTAGTCAGTCCCAAATGAAGCCCTGTTAATTCTCAGCCTGCTCCTTTCCACAACAGGAGACGGCAGCTCCCAGCTGTGAAGTTTAAACCTTAGAAGTTACACTGGATTCTTCCTTCTCCCTCACCCCTGACTTCAAGTCCATCTCCAGAAGCTGCTGGTCTCACCCCAAAACACCTCCAAAGAAGCTTCCGTCTCTCCACCCTGCAGCCACCAGCGTGGCCTGAGAGCAGCACCGCCATTCTGTGGCCCCGATCCATGGGTCTCCCTGCTTCAACCTCACCCACACAGCAGCCAGGCTGCGGCCTGAAGGCTGGGCAGCCAGATCCGTGGGCCAAACCCTCCCAGGTTTTCCCGCGGCCCAAACCCTCCCAGGTTTTCCCGCGGCCCCTGGGGTAACACCTGCGTTCCCGGATGGGCTCAGCGCCCTCCAGCTCCGAGACCCGGCCGCCTCGCACTCAGCCCCGTGAGCTCCACTCCACCCCGCAGCCGGCTCCCATCACACCGGCCTCCCCCTGCGGCTCAGACTGTGGCAACTGCCCCCCTCCCCACCCACCAGGCCCAGAATGCCCCCCAGACCTGCAGGGCCGTCTCCCCCTGCTCCTCACCTGGGTCCCACTTCAAACGGCCATCCTAAGAAAGGCCTACATCAGACAGGTGCCTCAGCAACTGCCCATCCCTGGAGCGTCACCCCAGGTGAATCCAGTCCTACTTCCTTCTCAACACGCCCACTGCCTGAAGCCTGCACCGGCTAATCCGATTGCTTGGCCGCTGTCTGTCTCCCCTGCTAAACGGCAGCTCCGCGAGAGGGAGGCAGCCTGCCCGGCCCCCGGAAGGCCCAGGGGCCGGCGCGCTCTAGTGCACAGTGACCACGTACGCACCTTCAGTTGCCTCTCCAAGACCTTCGGGGACAATCAAAAGAGCCTGTGCTAGAACGTCATCACAATAAAAATCTAGTGTGATAGGACACATGCGTTACGTTTTGGGAGTTTAAAAATCGCCGAAATAACAAAGCATCAGGTGGGAACCACATTAGTCAACAACCAGCAATATGAAGGGAGTGGGAAAGACAGGAGAACTTTGATCATATGGAGATGTTCAGTCCACGCTTCCAAAACACAATGCCAAAGAGAATACATAAATACTACAAAGCATTCAGGCACTTTACAAACTTTATTAACTGGTGTGGGACCTTTTGCTGTGGTGGTGCTTGTTATTAAACAGTACAGATAGCTCCTAAATACTGGAGCTTGGAAGGGTGGCAAGTTAAACTGATGATACCGCCATTAAAAAGTTAATCAGTATATGGGCTTTTATAGTTTGTTGTAGAGATCAGCTCAACGAGTGTGACCACTGATCACCACCATTGGCTAACTTAGCACAAAGGGCCAGGAACAACTCTGCATTTCATATCACTAAGAGAAGGAAATAGCAGTAAAAAATATATAATCAGGAATAGGTCAAATACAAAATTTCGAAGCCATGTTAAGTTTTACTAGGAATAAATGTATATATGTATGTAAATACAGGCGTGGTTGCTAATATTATGAGCACTAAAGCCAGACTACTAGGGTTTAAATCCCTAACACTTGACTTATGGCTGTAAAACCTTGGGAAAGTTACTTGGTCTCTCTAGTCTACCTTTTCTCATCTGCAAAATGGGGACATAAAAGTATCAGGCCTGAAGGGTTGTTTGTAATGATTAAATGAAGTTTTACTTATATATTTACATACACACTAAGCACAGTAACTATTTAAACATGTAAGTTCTAAATAGGTAGTATAAATAAACCAATTCAGTAAAAAGGGTGCTAATGTGGCCTTTGTGAATCCACTCTACACACCTTGTTACCTGCCCATAAAAATGTATTGCCAATAATACTCTGTTCTACACCTTTTAACATTATAATATAGCTAAAAACGTCTATCCATACAGTCTGACATTTAAATTTTCGACCTTTCCTGTCCTACTGTAGACACAACACATAACACATGCTACAAAAGACATCCCGACACCACATGAGATGAGTTGCCCTGCTCTTGCTTCTAAAGCAGCCAAGATGTGTAACCAGTCATAGCAAAGCATGCCCATTTTTAAGGTACCGTATAATGTTTTTAGCCCAAGAAAAGGCTCACACCTAATTTTATAATGCGTCTTCATGTGCTCCCTCAGCTGTGACGACGTCTCGAACTCCTTCCTGCAGGCCTTGCAGGCGTGAGTCCGGCTCGCAGCCAGCTCCTGGCGGTGCTCCTCCATGTGGATGGCCAGCTGGCTCTGCAGGGTGAACTCATCCCCACACTCAGAGCAGATGAGGTTCTGCAAAGGCAAAGACCGCCCGTGAGCAGAGCAAACACTTCAGAGCCATCACCTCTTGAAAGAACTCATACTGTAAATGGCTGATACACAAAGGATGCTTTCCTCTGGAACAAACACTATTTCACCTCTCAACAAATATATCGTCATGTCCAAATATGAACATATAAAAATGATTTCTTTCCTGATAGAAACATAGGGAGAAGGATGAGAGAACAATACAATTTCTGAGCAAAGCGAATTGTTTCAAACTGGCTGCTGGGTAAATGGCATTTTGTCCATCTATGCTGTGAAAACTTTAAAGAGAAGCAGAATGACTTCAATACCACAAAAGCGTCAGGAAAGAATTTAAATTAAGGTGACAGTTTAATAGACTACCTTAAAACAAAATGACAGCTGGTAAATTTTTAAATGGAAACACCTATCATTCTTTCAATCTGGTTTACGGGTAGTCAATTCCGAGAGGTCCGCGACTCTGTCCGGGAGTGCCTGGCTGAGCACCCGAACAGAGCTATGGAATAAGTATAAAATACACACAGGATTTCAAAGGCTTACTGAAAAAAAAAAAAGGAAGAATGTAAAATAGCTCAACTTTTAACATTTGAATTAGAGTATTTTGGATATATTTTCATAAATATATTAAAATAAAATATATTTCATCTGTTTCCTTTTTAACTTTTGGAAATATAGCCATTATAAATTTTAAATTACTCAAATGTCAATTAGGATAGCACTGGTCCAGATGTTCTGGAGTTGGGCCTTGGTTCACGTGAAGGCTGCCGGTCACCAGCGGTGTGTATCTGGGGGTGTTGACCGCTCAAAGTCTGTGAAACAGTGGTGACAGCAATGCCTGCCCTCACAGGGTTGTTATAAAGTTAAGTACAACGGTGCATGTAAGATGCTGAACGGTGCCTGGCACAGAGGAAGTACTCAGTAATGAACTGTTGACTCAGTACAAAGTTCAATGAGTTTACTCATGTGACCTTCTATAATACAATTATTTATTTAAATGATCCAAACATGGAAGTGTAACCTGTCAATGAGAATAAACTATTATTTCCAAACAACAAAATATACAGCTATTTCTTCCCATCAGACTTTCTTCTAATTACTCCACCTGACAGTCTCATAAACGCATAGAAACAGCATTAACATGAGGTTGTTCATTGATACTACTCAGAGCATCCTTTGCAGAAAAGACAAGGATGAATGGAATACTTTGAGCAATCCAATAATGACACCAACTTAAGTAACTTTAAATTAGTGTTACTATATAATAATTTAAGGAAATAATGAACTGTCTTGTTAGTATCTCGCTGATAATAAAGGAATTTCTTTCTTGGGAACTGTCAAAAATTTTAAAACCACCTAACAAAATTTGCTGCCTATCTTGAGTGTAGCACTGGGGGCATCCACACCCTGAATCTGTACAGCAAGGTATTCTCCTTTCACTAATGACTTACAATCACGAGATAAACCCTGACTTGTTACCCTCCCACCCGCACCCTGACTCTTTCATTGCTTTGGCTCAGACCCATCCTCTTCTCAGGTACTTTTTCACCAAATGAGCAGGTTAGTATATTTCAGGAGACATCTACATGGATATTACTCAGAAACTGATCAGAATTTTCTGAGTGGAAACTCTGGTTTATGTACAATTTGCTCATACGGCGAAAGCAGGATCAAGTACATGCTGGGCCACAACCGAAACAGGCCTCGTGATGGAAGGTTTCGTGCTGCCGCTGTGTTACACCCAGCCAGACCCAGGAGCCAGGATGGGCCTCCCTCCCTGCCCAGGACCTGGCACCTCGAGCAAGTCTTAGTGGGGAGTGCTAGGCCTGTGCGCAGCTGGCGGACGTCCACTTTACTGCGTTCCCCGCAGTCGGAGCTCCCGGCAGGCCCTCTAGGCAGAGGCAGTGGCTAAGTGCCTGCCCCAGAAGCAGGTGGTCCTGGGGGAATTCCAGTGACCGCTAAGTGGCCAGCAGATCATCCAGGGAAACATATGGCATTCTTATCAGCCCCCATCTGGCTGAAGATATAATAATTTTTAAAAGTCAAACAGAGTATAAAGTATGATAAATACTAACCGCCTTTAGGCTACTCACCCCGTAACGCTTGCCCTTCCCGCCTCCCCTCCCCCGGGTCCACCCACGACCTTTCTCTGCACCCCCGTTCCCTCTCTCAGAGCCCCCAGGCTCCAATGCCCAAGTGCTGTCCTTGCTCCTGCCCGGGCTTTCTCAGCAGCCATTCTTCCTTTCCTACAGGAGTCTGCCTCAAAATGGCGCTCAGTGCAGGAGAGAAACCTTAGCCCACCCCACAGGGCACCGCCCTCCTCTGAGCCCCAGCAGCACTGGTTTCCATCACCGTCCACTGGGCTCATCTCTTGGCCGGTGTCACCCTGTTCAGAGGCAGGACCAGCTGGGGAGTGGAGGGCCACCTCACACGGCCCCTCTGCCCTGTGAGGGGGGCGGGAAGCCCCGTGCAGACCGGTCCATCCCGCATCACCTGGCTGAGTCTTGGTGCTGCCGGTGGAGAGACTACACAGGCGGGGAATCAGAACACGCCCTGCTTCTGCCCAGCAGAGGATGGAAGGCCGGCTTCTAGCCGGGCTCTCTAACACCATCGTGGGGCAGGGGGGGTCGATCTGGGTGCCACCTCCTTCCGCCAGGAAACGGATGCAAGATTAGCTCCCTACTGAATCCCGGGGGTCAGGGGAGCAGAGGGCCATCTGCTTGCAGGGGACTGCAGGAGAGCAGGCTGGCGTAGACGATCGCTCTCCTCCCAGCCCCGCCGAGCTCTTCAGTGGGTATTTGGCTGGAATAGGGTTGGCAGCGTCAACAAGATTTTCTCTTGTGAGACCACCTTCTTCCCAGTTTGGGCTGTTGGCAACCAATCTTCTGGCGTGTTTTCATCTACGCCTGCTGGCAGAAGGCTGCAGGCTCTTCCAGCGCCCTGTCCAGGTGTACAGCAGGCAAAAAAGCAGCTCAGGGGACTCGCTGCCACACGTTCCTCAAGTCCTGAAAGCCCTCAGCTGCCCGCCTCCTTCTTCCCACCCTCAGGAGCCTCTAGATCTCTCGGCTGTGTGATTTCTATGTATTTTCAGTTGTAAGAGGGGCACAAAGGGTCTACTTCATCTTAGCTGGATTCTTATCGGTTAATTTTAAGTGCAACTAAAGGTAAGGAATTGTTCCTGTAGTCGATACTAATATACCACATTCAAATCAATTAACTAAGAAATGAAAACATACAAAATAGGCAAAGGTAGCTAAAATGCATTATTTAACATACATGGACAAGACTGATAATTGTGTTCCAGTATCTATTCTTCTTCTATACAACGATGGGTTTCTTAGCTGAGCACACGGCTGTGTGCCGACCTTCCTAACACTAACCACCCTGTGTGGCAACTGTGCCCCTTCCGCTCGAAGGGATGGCAGCAGGCTGATGCTCCGCCCACCTCTGGATCTGGCCTTCCCACAGCAGACGAGCCACCTCCCTCCCTCCCTCCCTCCCTCCGCTGTAAGCCACGTGGTACAAGAAACACTCACAGAGAGCAGAGCACGTGGGGTCCCGGACTACCTCGGCCACCCCACCAGCTCTGTACTGTAGGACACCAGACTGTTAGGTGAGAGAGGAAAACTCCCAACCTGCACCCGAACACAACCCTTTTTTTTAAAAAGAGCACCCGATTTTTTACATATTGCCAACACATTTTCCCCTCAGAAATAAGCACTGCAAACCTTTTTTGTTGTCGTTGTTCTGCTCATGTGAAACCGCTGGTCCTGACTTCCTGTTCGGCATGGGGTTACTAAGGTCAAGTTACTGAATGTCACTTCTCAGCTTCCAGAGCCTTGTCCCCAGCAGCACAGTGGCGCAAGGGCAAGAAGATAAAGCATTTTCACGGTTTCCATCCCCAGCTTCAAACCAGTTACACAAAAGCCTCCCTTCTGACTATTCCAGCCCTGTTCCTCTCCTGTGATTATTTACTGATCTAAGAGAGAATCTGTTATACTCCAAGAGAGAAAATAGAAGACAGGTTAGTAGTAATAGAAATGAAAGTCAACTGGTTTCAGAAAATACACGCTTCTCAAAGGCCTTTTGGGGAAAAAAAAACTGGGCGTCAGAAGCTATGAACTGTTTATGCTCCTACAACAGTGGAAGACAAAGACAGCTGGAGCTTCGCCACTGCAGCAAGGACGCAGATGAGACCAGGCTGCCCACGCTGCCATCACAGCTGCTGCGCATGCCGGGGCTGCCACCTCAGGAGACGACGTCACAGCAACGAGAAACCGACACAAGGAAACGGGGTAAAGGCAGACATCAGAGACCGTGAGCTCCACTTGGGGGACAGTGTGGAAAAGAATCTGGACAAAGGGTGTGGAAGAGAAAACAGAATGAAGGGAAGGTTTTGAAAATAATGTATAAAAACCTAAGAGTGTCTGGAAATGATGAATTACCGTTATTTCTCTTTCCAGTCATGGAGGAGGTGGAGAAAAATTTTAAAGGTGTATCTGAAGAAGCATTAGGATGGAGCACAGCAGTTTCGCTGGCCTGCATCGGTGGTGTGCGGCTGGCAGAGGTGCGGGGCCCCGGCTCAGGGGCACACCCGCCCTATGCCATCACCCCCAGGGCTGGGTCCACCGGGGGCGCCAGGGCGGTCGGAACGGCTTCAATCATCCGCCCCCACCCCACCCGCCGCAGCGAGCCCCCTTGAGGACTGACACACGCGCGCGCGCACGCGCGCACACACACCAGGCTTCACCACCTTGCTGATGCGGCCTAGACCGCACGTTAAATCGTTTCAACCCTCTGCCAACAACTGACTCATTCGCTATCCCGTCACACACGCTTCGTAAACCAGAACCTTGATGCAAACAACCATCTGACCTCCTACCGGGCTGAAGGGCGCTGTGAAGAAGCCACGTGCTCCCCTCCCACGCAACGCACACAGATCCGTTCGCAGCCACGACCCCTGTATTACATGTAACACAACCCACGTATCTGTCCCTGGTCAGGCTCTGCTCCCACTTCCCAAAAGCAGGCTTCCCACACCCATGCCTCTCTCCACCACCTCATTCTTCCGTGAAGACAAGGCAACGTCTCCATTTCACAGAGAAAAATGAGGCTCTGCAGCCCCAATCCAGCCCGAGAGGGAGGCGGCAGTGACCATAACAGACTCGCAGGGGCCAAGGGACAGCAGAGGCCCTCAAGGGAAGACACACGACCCTCGACAACCGTCCCACGTCACACGGACGACTGGCTCAATACCGTTCAGTTTCAATGACATCGTAACGTTGTGAAGCTGGCTTTCAGTAGTTGCTGTGGTTAAAAAGCAGGGAATGAGTGAAAATCAATGTGAAACAGGAAATTGCAGGGTTTAAAAAGCTACGAAGTACCTAATTTACATACGGTAGTTTTTCAAATGGCTACTAAGTTACTTAAGACATAAATACTTACTGGACCTCTTAGATTTAACTGCTTCAGAAAAAGAACTCTTAGCGTTTGGCTCAGTGGAAAACTTGCTGAGACACAGAGACTACGGAAGCTGCAAACCGAGAAAGGGAAAGCTGCCCTAAGCCAGCAGGAAGGGCCTGGACTCCCACTGTCACACCTGCATCCCCTGTCCACCCGAACCTGTCCTCACGCTTTTCTTCTAGGGTCAAAGGCAGAGGTATCTCTTCTGCTCACAACTCCCTTCTCCACCTACTCTCACAGGAAGTCAGTCCTTGCCCCTCCCGATGGAGACGTCTGAAGATGGATTATTAGAGCAACGTTAAATTCTTGAGTGTGGTAACTGTTTTGTGATAATGAGGAAAAGTGTCTTTGTTTTTAGGGGATACAACTGAAGTATTTAGAGGTGCAGTAGTAACATGATGCCTGCAGCTATTTCAAAACTGTTAGAAAATTTGAGGGGGTGAGATCTGGTTTACTTTAAAACCCCCCATGTACTAGGTGAAAACAAAACCAAACCAAAAATCTCATCACCTAATTATTATTTGTAGATGAGGTTGTACACCTGAAAACTCAGAGAATCTGGTAGAACAGCAGGCTACAAAACCAATATACAAAAATGCACTGCTTTCCTATAGACAGATAACAAATAATACATATTTGAAAGAGCCATTACATGATATTTTTTTAAAAAAAACAAATTTAAATAATGTGCTGAACCCATCTGAACAAAACATTACTGAGTATTTTGACAATAAAGATTCAATATTTTAAACATGTTCAATTCTCCCCTTTAACAATCTAAGCATTTAATGCAATCAAAATTAAAATACCAATTAGTTTTTAATTAGGCAAAATTCTAAAGTCCACATTAATAATAAACCAGAAAAGTAAAATAAGAAACATACAAACATTTGTTTATCATTACAAAGAGAAATACAGCAAAATCACACTGAAAACCAGGAACGTGGTCCCAGGAATGGGGCAGGGTTACAGAAAGGAGCCAGTCTCCTGAGTGCCCCTTGTTTGTTTCTTTTTGACGGCTACTACTTACTACCCTAATGTTCAAAGACTACCTCCCCGGCCCTCAATCCCTACTCTGCCTGCATGGGGCTGTCTCTGGTCTTACGAGCCCGACCCTAATTGAGGGCAGTAAACTGAGGGCCGCAGATCGTAAGAATGGGAAGGGGGCCTAAAAGAGAAAGCCAACGAATGCAACAACCCTGTACTGACCTCAGATCCGAAACGCGCTTCACGTACAGTGGTTTGGGCCAAGCCACTGTGAAACGACTTCCAGTGTTAACACAGGACCACCCAGCACACGAGGGGAGGGGCGCGCGCACTGCTGGGAGCCCCGCCCCGCCGTGGAGGAAGGGACACACAACCAGGAACTGGGGGGCAGGTGGGCGCCCTGTACAGAGGGGCTGGGGTTGGAGGAATGAGTGTGAACTCAGGATTTCTGAAATACAGGTGCGCCCTACACCTTGCGGACCTGCATTAGAAGACACGGTGGGATTTTAAAAAATGGTGATTGTACACTTGGGAAGCATTTCTAAGCAAATCGTAAGAGCCAGAACCCGTCAATGAACAGACTGCTCACTGCAGCTACACGCAAAGGGCAGAAACAACCTGCGCAGAGACCTGCTGATCATGACACGGGTGTACACAATGCACCCAGTGTAACACCATGCGGCTGCTGCAACAATACCTAAGACAGAGCCAACTGAAGAAAAAGCACAGAATACTGCTACTGCGTGGTATTCCCGGGGATGCAGAGATGTGTACGCGCACGGAAAGCCCCTGGGAGGATGCAGAAGAGACTGCTGTGCAGGCAGCTCCTGGGAGGAGGACTGAACGTCGGGCCTGATGGAGACTTAAGTCTCACTCTCTAACCCTTTCTCTGCTGTCTGAGTCTCACTGTGTGAACTTATTCCAAAATTAAACACGTTCTGCCTTTTAAAACGAAAACAATGGCCATTTCTGGACAGCGCTACAGCTGAGTGAGACAGGCAGGCCTGCAGTCTGCAGGAGAAGGTATAAAGCAGCATGCGCTCTCGAAAACATAACGTGGCATTCTATAAAGAACTTGAAAAAGCCTTGTTAATTCAGTAAATCCAATTCTAGGAATCTATCCTAATGAAACGATTAAAGATACATGCAAAGATGTATTATTTATAATACTGAAAAAGTATAAACAACTTAAAGGTTAAATAATAAAGGAAATGGTAAAAATATCATAATGCTATATCCAGATCCTGAAGACTTTAATAAAGCAATTTAAAATAGTGACATGGGGAAAACACGCATGATTCAGTAAGTGAAAGAGGAAAAGATGTATTCACAATGTATTAAAGGAAAAGAGTGGGTTACAAAACAGTATGTATTTGCACTAAAAAAACTATCCTTAAGTATATAAACTATTACGGGAAGTGTATGTCTAGCTAAAAAAAAAAAAAAAAAAGGCCTGAAAGACTACACAGCTGACCCTTGAACAACACCAGGGTCTGGAGCGCCGACCCCGCGCGGTTGAAAATCCGAGCATAACCTCAGGGTGGCCCTCCACGTCCACGGCTCCCCACCCTTGGAGTCAGCCAACTCCGCACCATGTAGTACTGTCATACACACTGACTGAAAAACTCCACGTTTAAGTGGACCCACACAGTTCAGACCCACGTTGTTCAAAGGTCAGCTGCATATGCGTTCTCTCCCACTGGTGTGATCATTGGTTCTTTTACGTTACTTTTGTTAATCTTTAGTTTCTAACTTTTCCCAAAATAAACATGTATTACTTATACAATAAGATTTTAAAAGATAAAAATAACTTATTTTATATAAAAAATTAAAGACATAAAAAGAGGGTACAAACCGATATACAAAGTATAATAAACTCAATTTTCAGGATGCAAATTTTATATATGCAATTTAAACGCTGTATGTTTTTCTGTCTCTGGAGGAAACTATACCAAACAGTTATCTGTAATTATCCCTGGGTGACTGCTTTTTACATTTGCATTTCCCTAGTTTTCTATGGTAACAATGGGGGGTAACACTTTAAGCAACAGCCGTGTATACGTCACAGTGAGCCCGCCCGTCCCAAGAGCAGGCAGGCCTCTCTGGTGCACACCAGCGGCACGTCCCTGTCATCCTTCACTCTGTCCCAAGACTAGGCCTGTGGACCTTTCAGGACTATTCACTGTGGTGCATAAACTGCTTTGGGTCATCATGAATTTCCTCTCTTCTCCCAAATTCCCACGTGTCAGGGGATCCAGGAGCCAAGCAAGGAGATTCTACCATCTTCAGAGGCAGAAACTTTACTTTGGGCCACTCAGAATCCTAAAAAAGTTAATTTTTATTAAGAAAAAAAGAGTGCGGGGCACCTCTGCCAGCCACTGTGGACATACTTTGATTCCCCCAATATACTACACACTAAAATGTCTCTACCCCAAGGTGCTGACATGACCCCAAAATAAACACTTTACCAGTGACCTGGAGACTAGCCAAGGCAAATTTAATGATAACTGACTCCTTGAAACCTACACCAAAGGCTTTTTAAAACTAGTTTAACCCTAACATCCTCCTGACTAAGGATCAGATGCATTTTAAAAATCCGTGAACAAAGTATAGGCTGAAATAATTACCTCCTCCTTTTCATGCAGCATAACATGTGCTTTGAGACTAGCCACTCTGGAGAATTTCTTGTTACACACGGGACAGGTAGGATCCTCCCCATTGTGGGTACATTTGTGAAGTGTCAAGTTGAACTCAACATTAAAGGTTTGGGGGCACTGGTCACATCGATGTGGCTAGGTGGAGAAAAAAGTCGAGAAGCACTGAAACACAATCTTTCCACAATGAATGTCATTCAAATATTAACAAGCACCATAATCCACAGATAAGTTTTCTAAGGAACTTCTGAAGTCCTTCTGGACCTGAAGTCAATAAATCCAAAATGGACACAGTAAAACTCCTTACAGTATTTCTCAAAGGAGTGTAAGGAGACACCACATCTATGTAGAAAATATTTCTAATAAGAAATGCTGCAATATAAACGTATCAGAATGTAGCCACTACGAAAATAAAAGTGAGACACTTCAACTCATTGGGTGGGATTTTTTCCCTTCTTTTATGACAACTCCACTGCTGTAAACAAAATCACTTCAAGTAAACTAAGTAATTGTGAAAACTTTCACTAGATTTTAACAGAGTTGCTTATCCTCATCTAAAATATCCCCCAAATGGAAGGTATTCTGCCACTTACTAGTAGAAAGATAAAGTAATCACTGGTATTTCTCTTGTAAATATCAAGACCCTAATGGGCCAGTATCTTCAGATTTTTCAGCTTGGGAGAGTAACGCCAGCGGGTACTGGTGTCGGTACCACATTATCATAGTTACAGCAGCATCATTCATGCCGAAAGTAAGGCTGGAGTTGGTCAGATCCCGTCCTCCAGAAAAGAGATCCCTGGTGTTTTTCTGGTCTCAGATGGCTCACTAGCTTACATCCTCCTAACCTAGAGAAAAGTCGGCAATCACTCTTTTCACTGTAGTTTTAACTGCCACTTTCCAACTCTCAGGCAGCTCGTTCCATTAGCACACTAACACACCTGACATACCCCACAAGGGGCACACTTGCAAGAGAGTTCAAATCCCTATTCAAGAGAGCGCTGCTCCCTGCGGAAATAAGATCTAAAACATCTCAAGTACCCTCTTAAAATGCAAGACCACTTAAAGGTAACACTGCCTGCTGGAGAAAAACACACCAAGATAAGGGAAATTGGGGCTTCCCTGGTGGCGCAGTGGTTGAGAGTCCGCCTGCCGATGCAGGGGACACGGGTTCGTGCCCCGGTCCGGGAGGATCCCACATGCCGCGGAGCGGCTGGGCCCGTGAGCCGTGGCCGCTGAGCCTGCGCGTCTGGATCCTGTGCTCCGCAGCGGGAGAGGCCACAGCAGTGAGAAAAAAGATAAGGGAAATTGAAACTACTGAAGAAAGTCATATTTTAAGATTATTTCTTTGTCCACTCATAAATAACTTCATTAGATTCACCAGACTAGCTCTCACTTTCTTTCATTATCTAATGATGGGTAGAAATACAACTACAACTAAAAACGAAACGTCAAAATATTTATTTACATAATATGGAATGTTCCACAATTTAGGAATAAGAAAAATGTTTACATGTTGATTTTCACAATTCCTCCAGTTTCAACGCTCACATTTCTGACATCCCTTTTTAAAATACATACCTTGTCATTTCGCTCGTGATCCCTCATGTGGCGTTGAAACTGGGACTCTTTTGGAAAAGATAGCAGACAGATTTCACATTTATGGAAGCTCGGCACTTGACAGGCATAATTAGTGCTCTCCGCATTCAATGTTAAAACTCCATCTATAAAATCGCATAAGTATAAACAATAAACACCAGTTGTTATTCTCAGCATATAAACGAAGCTAAATTATCTGGTTATTGTTTCGAAACCAAATTATATCAGATTTATGAGAGATTTCAGATGAAATGAATGGTACCTTAAATTTTTTTAATGGACATGTTTTTAAGTTAGAAATGAGAAATGCTGAGATGACTGAGACATGGGACTACAGGATTCTAACATCTGTTAACAGGGCTGTCAGAAACCTGAAACTAAACTCCTGAGGCTTAGTACCCACTCAACGACACACAAAAGCCTCCGTGTTTCTTAACCTTGCCTGCCTGCTCAATGCTATTTCTCAGTCACAACAAATCACAGAGGCACTTCTCCTCTGAGTCACTTTGAGCATTCATCAATAACCCAGTTTCTTAAATCACTCAGTAAACAAAACTCTAGGAGAAATATAAAAGCTGATGCACTAGTTCAATCTACCTCTGAAAACTGCTGCAAAGCAAGATAAAGTCAAAAAAGCAAAACCTTTTGTTCTCTCACATAGTTATGGTTTTAGGAAGGTAAAGAGTTGCAGTGCTTTGAACAATCCTCAGGTTTTACAGTGTGCTTTCTAGTGTACCGTGTGCTTACATTTAGGTAAATGGCTATAAACTTAAAAGTATTTTCAAACAAGAACAAATATGCAATAATCACAAAAATTTACCAAGAACTTCATAAAATAAAGATTCCTAAATGTCTTCAATTCTTGAAAATAATACTCCAAGTCTTATAATTTCGGCACAAATATACAATCCATATTAACAGACGAAGACAGAAATATGTCACGTACAACTCTTTGTATCCAACTTGACCCCAAAATATTAGAAATTTGCAAGTAGGGTGAGGGGCTAATTTTAAGACTCAGTAAAGCTCAGGAATGTCTTCTATTTCTCAAACGTCCATGTGGTGAACACAGCATTCCAGCATTTTCTCTAGACCTTCACATGCCTGTTCTGAGCAAATGGCCTGCAGTCCCCTGTTTGGCCAACAGTCCTCCTGGTCTACAGCAGAATCTGCTCAAAAGCAAGAGCTGTGAAATTCCAACGATGGGAGGTGGGGTGAAACCATGCTGGAGACAGAGCAGAAGGGGATGGAGAAAGCCGACAAGAGCTCCAAAAAATCCTCCCGGCAGATCCTCCAGTAAAGCGATTCCAGTTTTGAGAAACACTGATGTAATTCAAAAGACTGTAACTTCATTCAGAAACAAAGTGGATCTACTAAGGGAAATATACATAATTTTTATTCTATTTATTCTTAACTCTATCCACATTCAAAGCCCATACATTCAGAATCTCTACACCAAACTAATAACAAAATGTTGTATGACTCCCCAGGCCCAAATAAAATGATTGCTGGGACCACATTAATTGATACATTATTCCCTTTTGAAAAGCCTGTACTATGGGAAGAAACACTGAAGGCACAAGTAAGATATCTGTTGACAGCTGTGTTTTAAGAACTCAGTAGTGTTTTAGCCTAAAGCCTGAATACAATAAGAGCCCCTCAACTTAATTTCTAAAATGCAAAATTAAAATGCTATTTCAGGATGGAGAATGAAACAATTTTCATAGCCTCTATGTTGAAACTACTTAATATGTTATCTAAAAATGAGAATTAATTTGATTTAATTAACTGCAATTGATAAACCCCTGAGATAAAAAACTGTACATTTAAAACTGAAAAATGATGTCATTTTGCTTATGAATTAAGACTTTTCTAGAAAATAGTTTTATCCTAAGCAGCAAGACTTCGCTCTTTAACAAAGCTCCAAATGTAATAAAATGACTTTTTCAGTAGGTCCCTTCCCGCTGTTGATAACATAATATTAATTTGGTCCAAAGACAAACTTAAAACAATTCAAATTACAGTGTAACTGGGAAGGAAAAAAACAAAACATGTTTTAGTTTCCACGATGAGTCTAATTTTAAAGTCCACAGCATCTCTAGACTTTCACTTTGCTTCGCGGCTGTTTCTCTCGGCACTGAGAGAGCAAAGCCTTTCTCCAGGGCTGGGGGGTGCTAACCCCACACTTGGCTTTCTTTCTGCTCAGAGTTGGCCCTTTATTGGGAGAGTCCTAGGCCTCAAAACAACCCCAATTAGGCACCAGCTCTTCAAGTTCATTCACATGTCTGGTCCCCAGAGTACTTGTTCAGAAAGAGGTCTATGAAATTCACGTATCCTTAGGATGGGCTTCAGGAGATCCACCAACTCCAAGAAAACTACACACCAACATACACGCGTGTGCACGTGTCCACTGTTGGGGGTGAGCGGTCTCTGCAGCCACAGGGCCCCCGGATTTCTAAGGGGCTAGGGATCTAGGTTAAGGTGTGATCAATTCACATCAGTCCTCCTGAGTATGGCTGCATTTTTAAGAGGCAGCTAGAACTTCACCATGAGACGCTGGGCCGCACATATTCCTACTGCTCCCCCAGACAGAATGGGAATAAGCACAGAGCCACCTGCATTTGGCAGTGCTCAAATCTAAGAGCTCATCCAGAACAGTACTTCTCACCTATGTGCTTCTGCCCTCTGAGAGGACCGGGGAGGAGCCATCATGAGATCTCACTGGTGCAAGGAAGCCTCCGGAGGCAGGACCCCAGGCAGGACCCAGACTGTCCCCATACACACGTCCCCTCACACACACGTCGCCTCACACACAGACAGGCCCACCGCTCTCCTCAACTGCTCACCCTTCCCGCCACCAAGAACTCCACTTCACTATCAAAATTAAACAAAAACCGGGTTACGAAGATCAGAAATTGAGCACCTTTGCTTCCCTGAGAAAAACTTGAAGACCAGTTTCAAAATCAGTTTAACTCTTTACACAGAGATTCTAAACAGTACATAATAATGGTTGTGTCTCTACCACCCCAAAATGATATAGCCTATCACGGGGTTGTGCAGATTAAACAAGACGACGCTTCCTGGTGCCATGGGGACAAAAGCCCATCAACCGTCTCGGAGCACGGCCACCTCTTTAATGCTCGTCCTTGCTACTCAATACCCTACCCATCACTCCAGACCACGCTCTCCCATGGTAACTACCCACAGGCAGGCCTGGCATGTAACGGCGGGGACAAGATGAGCTGGCTTTCAAACTGCTCTTCCCAGAACAGGCCCAGCACATCAGACCGGCCAGCTTATCTGCATGGCGAAGGTCATCCACATCCCGAATTGGAAGAACCTAGGTGGATCTCTTCCACGCAAAATACCTACGATGTGACACCAAGTTCCAGCAAAACCTACTGCATTTATAGCATTCAGGGATTTAACTCAAATTCGCATCTCTCGACTGAAACTCTTAAGCACTGTGCATTTAAGATCTCAGCTACCCATAAATACTGACGAGGCATTTTCAATTTCTAAAGTAACTAAACCCCAAACTTTTAACCTGTTTTTATTTTGTTTTGAATAAAAATCTTTCCAAAATAGAGTTGCTCTCCCCATCCTCTGCCCTCAACAGGCACTAGCCTCACTTCCCTCTTTCCATCATTCCCTACATTCCTCCAAGAACCCAGCTCTTTAACCATCAACCACCTGCTCTCACTCTGTCACCCTCTGACACCACAGTGCTCTCTGAAGTCACCAAGCAGACGTCTGGGAAGTCTGACAGTCACCCCCCTACTTCAAATCGGTACCACCTTGCCTAATCGCCACCATTCTTTCCCCTCATTTCTACTTTTTTAAAAATTCCTTTCTACTTTCTTTTCTCCCATTTTCTACTGCTCCTCCCACATTTGTCAGCATTCAGGTTTTAGCACAGCTGAGCTTTTTAGGTAAAACTCTGAAGTGAAATGGGCAAAACTAAAATCTAGGCTGTGAGATATCAGGACAGGGGTTAGTCTTACGAGGGTACTGACTGGACGGAGCATGATGGGGGTTTCTAGGGTGCTGGTAACGCCCCATTTCTTAACCTAAGAAATTATATAAATAATTATATGAATTATTAATACAACCCATATAATCTGGGTGCTGATTATATGAGAAAGTTCTTGCTCTGAAAATTCACTGAACTGAACATAATTTCTATTCTTCTCTGTATGTTATATATCAATAGAAGGTTTACGCCAAAGTAAAGTGCTATAATATGCAACTTTCCTTTTCATTCCTGTTTTTTCTTCCAGATTGGGGTCAACCAACTAGGGTCTAGCCTTTCTGGTAAGCAGAGTTTCATGGAACTCAGCCACGCTCACTGGTTTACGTATTACTGTGGCAGTTTGGGGGCTGCGACAGCAATTCAAAGTTACAGCAGAGACCTTAACACCCACAAAGTCTAAAACATTTACCATCTGGCGCTACAGAAGAAGCCTGCTACCCCTGCCCCAGAGGGTAAACCGGGGTTCCATACCGGCCAGCCAGCATTACTGCAATCCCTGCAATGTCTGTTACCCTCCAAGCTCCGTGGCACCCCAGGGACATCCCAGAGCGATAAAGGCATAAAGGGCTGACATATACCATGCTTTACCTTCTACAATAAATAACCTTAACATTTACTTAGGCATAATCTCCTTAAAACTAAGACCTTTGTCTTAGTCATGGGATAGAAAGACTGGACATTGCCCTAAATAATAATTTTCAGAAAATTAATACAATAAAGGCAGCTATCTCTGTATTTCACCATTCTGCCCGATACCTATGTACCTCACTCCACGTCTTCTTACCCCACCCGCTAAAGGCTTTCTGCCAAGCATTTTCAATAAATGCAACAATGAGCATCGGGGCCTTGGTTTGCTACACAATGATTAGCAACTACATATTTCCTAAAAATGTGCAGAGATAGTGTCTTCTAAGTGTGACAAGCGTACCACCAGCAGTCCGTGAGGTGATTTTAGGCAGCACAAGAACTCACAATTTTACTGGCTATGTATTTATTTTAAAGTGTCTTAGTATAAAGTACACTTGAAATTTAGTACGAGGTACTAGCACATGGATAGACATACAGACCAATTGAATAGAACTGAGAGTCCAGAAACAAACCCATACTTCCATCGCGAACTGATTTTTCAACAAGGGGGCCAAGACCACTCACTGAAAGAACAGTCTCTTCAACGAATGGTTCTTGGACAAACGGCTATCCACATGCAAAAGAAGGAAGGTGGATCAGAGACATCCACCTCACTCCATACCACACACAAAAAATAGCTCAAAATGGATCAAAGACATCAGTTTAAGAACTAAAGCTATAAAACTCTCAGAAGAAGACAAAAGGAAAAAGCTTAATGACTGTGGAGGCATGATGGTTTCTTAAATATGACACCAAAGAAAAAGTAGATAAATTGGACTTCATCAAAATTTAAAACCTTTGTGCATCAAAGGATGCTATCAAGAAAGTAAAAAGACAAGCTACAGAATGGGATAAAATATTTGTAAGTCATATATCTGATAAGGGCCTAGTAACCAGAATATATAAAGAATTCTTACAAAAGGCACAAAAAACAAACAACCCAATTAAAAAATGAACAAAGGATTTGAATAGACATTTCTCCAAAGATATACAAATGGCCAACAAGTACATGAAAAGATGCTCAGTGTCATTAATCATTACGGAACTGACAAGCTGATTCTAAAATCTAGATGAGGGACTTCCCAGGTGGTCCAGTGGGTAAGACTCCACGCTCCCAACGCAGGGGGCCCTTGCTCGACTGCTGCTCGGGGAACTAGATCCTACATGCATGCTGCAACTAAGAGTTCACATGCCACAACTAAGAAGCCCACATGCTGCAGTTAAAAGATGCCGCATGCCGCAGCTAAGACCCGGCACAGCCTAAATGAATAAATATTTTTTAAAACCTCTCAAATCATATTTTAAAAAATTTAAAAAATAAAATCTAGATGAAACTGAGAAGTACCAAAAATTATTAGGACAACCATGAAAATGAAAACCAAAGTAGAGGACTTGCATTCACACCACTAGATACCGAAACTTGGACTAAAAGTAATTAAGACAGTAAGAAATTGAACAGGCAGAAACCAAAAAACAATGGGAGAGAACTGAATGCAAAAACAATTCTTCACCTCCACAGTCACCTGATTTACAACAAAGGTGATACTACAGTACGACAAAGGATGACCTTTCCAATAAATAGTGCAGATTAATTAGACATCCACATGTAAAAAGTCTCGACCTTTCCACCATAAACAAAAATCAATTTCGGTTGGTGTTATCAATCTAAAGGTGAGAAGTAAAACAATAAAGCTTCTAGATGAAAATGTCTTCATGATTATAATTGTCAAAAATTACTTAAACAGGTCCCGAAAGTACTACGCATAAAGGAAAGGACTGATAAATTGGACAACATTAAAGTTAAAAACTTCTTTCATGAAAAGATTATCCTTGAAAGAGTGAACATGAAAGTACAAAGAACTCATGTGCAGTATACATAAAGAACTCCTATGGATCAATAATAAAAATACATGTTAACTCTTCACCAAAAATATATAGATGACAAGCACATGAAAAGATGCTTAAGATCATAAGTCATAAGGGAAATGCAAACTAAAACAATGAGATACCCAATAACACACACCTATTAGAAGGGCTAAAAGTCCAAAATAATCAATAATACCAAATGCTGACAAGGACGCAGAACAACAGGAACTCCCATTCATTGCTCGTGAGAACACAAAATGGTGCAGCCACCGTGGAGAGGTTTAGCAAGTTCTCACAAAGCTGTTTATAGTCTCACCGTCTGATCTAGCAATCATGCTCCTTGGCATTTACTCAAATGAGCTAAAATCTCATGCCCTCACAAAAACCTGCGTATGAATGTATACACCAATTTTATTCATAATTACCAAAAAACTGGAAGCAACCAAGATGTCCTTCAAAATGTAAACAAATATACTGTGGTACATCCATATAATGAATATTATTCAGCAATAAAAAGAAAGGAGCTAATCAAGCCATCAAGAGACACGGAGACATGTAAAATGCACACTGCTTAGTAAAACGCAGTCTGAAAAGGCTACATACTATATGATTCCAACTATATGCCGTTCTGGAGCAGGCAAAGCTATGAAGACAGTGCATCCTAATGTAAGCTATAGACTTTGTTTATAATAATGAATCAGAATTGGTTCATTCGCTAGAACAAGACATTAATAACGGGAGGCCGTGAGGAGAAAGATACGGAGTACAGTCTACAGGAAGTCCAAACTATCGGCTGAGCTCTGAGCAAGCCTAAGAACTGCTCTAAAAAGTCTACTAACTAAAGACAAACAAACATCCAACTCAGTAGAAAAATGCGAAAAGACTTAAGAGCTTCACGCAAGAGAACAAATGCGTAATAAACATAAAACCCTTATTAGCACAGAACTGCAAATTAAAAATCAAAACGAGATAACACTACACATACCAGGAGGGCTAAAATATTAAAAGGACAGACAATGCCAAGTGCAAAGAGAGTGAGAAGGCAAAGACTACAGAGCAAATGGGAGGTTAATCCCCTACTGGTGGGAGAGTGAACTGGTACGATCACTCACCACTGCCCACCATGACCCGGAAATGCATGAAGGTTCCTAGCAGCACTTATTTGTAATAACCCAAAACTGGAAACAACCCAAATATCTATAGTAGAAAGGATAAATTAAACGATAGTATGTTCACACAACAGAATACTATATACCTATGAAAAACGAACAAATTTCTGCTATATAATAAGGAGGATCATCTCATAAAAACAAATATTGAATGAATGAAGCCAGAAAGAAAAGGGTACATACTATGAACTCCATTTAGTTCAAAAACAGTTAAACCTAATCTACGGTATCAAAAGAGGACAGTGGGGGTCAGCAGGTAATAGAGAGAACAAGGGGAACTTTTAAGGTACTGCTAATGTTCTGGTTACATATGAAAATTCATGAAGCTTTTCACTTAAAATCTACGCACTTTTCTACATAGATGTTCTATTCAATTAAATTAGTCACCTAAATACAATAATAAAGGAGTTTCAAAAAACACATTTCTGGCTTCTCCTGAAAAAAAATCATTAGCTGTGGCAATAATTAAATGGAGCAAAGTAGGAGCCGGCCCCTGTGGAAAAAATAGGAACTCCAATTCTCCGAAACCCCAGAGCCAGCTATCAACTGCTATCACCTACTACCTTTAACTGCCTCGCTAGTTTGCATTAGTGTCTGACCTACAGACAACTGAGGTTTTGAATTCAGTTAAAGAATTGAGGTATTAAGAGAGCACAGTCTGTTCCTGCAGTTTATTAGATTATATACATTTTTCATTTTAACCCAGAAAAGCCACAGGTTTCACGTTTGCTGAGAGAAATGCTAGAGGAAGGCACCTCGGAGCCCCAGCTCCCTCCCTCCCTCCTTCCCAGCAGAGCGGCCTCAGCCTGGACCACACAGTGGAATCTCCTGTGAGCTTTAAAAGCCGTGATGCCCGGGTCCCACCATAGGCTCAGATGTCACTGGATGAGGCCCAGTCATCGAGAGCTTTAAAAGCTCCCCACATGACTCCATAATGCGCTCCAAGGGTGAACACCACCACCGGAGGTCTTGCTGCGATATTCCACGTGAGAGAATTCTAAAACAAAAAAGAAGTTTGAAAAATATTGCTAATTCCTTGAGCACTGTCTTTGCGTATGGAGACAATGTAAAAACGCTGATATACATTAAGCATTTTAGAACTGCTGAATTGACTCTATCTAATGAAGAATTAGGTTTACTATGGTTTTCCCAGGCTAGGTTTGTGTCAAAGACCAAGATTCTGAACCATGTTAACTCACTACTTGATTCCAGGATCATAAAATCTTTAGATTTTGTGTCTTATCTAATCACACTTTCTTCAAAATACTAAATACTCCAAGTTTCTGTCTACCTAAAAAGTTCGATTATGGAGAGTACAGGTTGCTCCTTTCTGAAGAAATCTTTTCATCCTTCAATACCTGATATTGATAGAAAGTAATTATTTTAAGCAGAATCTATCTCCCCTTAACTGTTACCCACCAATGACACCTAGTTTTGCCAGGGAAGCAGAGTCCCCTTAAAGCCTCAGAGCACTTCCCCTACTGCCCTGTAAGAAGTTCAAGCTCTACTTCTGTTAGCTATGCTAGCAGTCTCCGCCCCTTGAAGGAAGAGTACAGAGTTACTGAATTCATCGGAGAAAATCTAAAATGGCCTGAATTGGTAATCTGAGCAAGAACAGAATTGTTTATTCCTTTGGCTCAAGGTCTGCCTGCCTCAGCTCTCTGGAAATGAAGTATTAACAAATATCCCTTCAACAGAAAACAGAAACTTAGCAGGAGACCAACTAAAGGTTCAAGCTAGGCAGAAAAGGTTTGCACCATTCTACTGGAAAAACAGAAGCCATACAAGATCCCAAAATGTAGTTTCCATCCAGATCACATTACGGCTTATTAAGAGTAAACTAAAATAACAATGATAAAAAAAAACCCTATCTCACTCATCTTTATATTCCCAGGACAGTGCCAGGCACAAAGGCGAGTGCTCAACAAATACTCCCCCATCAATTTATGTAACAGATGGGGCTTACTTCTTTACTTATGTCCTAAAGGTAATTATTACTTTAAGACACGTTTTTATGCTACTGACAAGGGATTAATCTCCAAAATATACAAACAGCTCATACAGCTTAATATCAAAAAAACATACAACGCAATCAAAAAATGGTCAGAAGACCTAAATAGACATTTCTCCAAAGAAGACATAGAGATAGCCAACAGGCACGTGAAAAGATGCTCAATATCGCTGACGATTAGAGAAACGCAAATCGAAACTACAATGAGGTATCACCTCACACCAGTCAGAACGGCCATCATCAAGAAGTCTACAAATAACAAATGCTGGAGAGGGTGTGGAGAAAAGGGAACCCTCCTACACTGTTGGTGGGAATGTAAATTGATACAGCCGCTATGGAAAACAGTATGGACATTCCTTAGAAAATTAAAAACAGAGTTGCTATATGATCCTGCAATCCCACTTCCGGGCATGTATCCGGAGAAACTCTAATTCGAAAAGATACATTCACCCCAATGTTCAGAGCAGTTCTAGTCACAATAGCCAGGACATGGAAGCAACCTAAATGTCCATCAACAGAGGAATGGATAAAGATGTGGTACATATATACAATGGAATATTATTCAGCCACAAAAAAAGAATGAAAGAATGCCATCTGCAGCAACGTGGATGGACCAAGAGAGTATCACACTAAGTGAAGTAGGTTAGAGAAAGACAAATACCACATGATATCACTTATATGTAGAATCTAAAAAAAAAAAGATACAAATGAGCTCATTTACAAAACAGAAATAGACTCACATACATAGAAAACAAACTT